TGGTTGCCAGTGAAATGCCTTGTATATGCAGTAACATTGAATGCTAATGTAAATGTAAATGAATCAGCAAGTTTGAAAAAAATAATTATAAACACGCGAATAAAACATTTTTTTAATATTAAATTAGCTGTATTGTAAGGGAATACTTGCAATACGGAGACCAGTTCTAAAAAGCAATGACTTTGTATATTTTAAACAAAAGAAGACCTGAAACATTTTTGCCTCCCCCAAAGACTTTGAATATTTTATTTCGGTTTTTAAAACAACTTATGCATGTTTTATACATTGTTTTTACTTATTTGAAAAATGTGATATTATGTTTTATTGATAAACATACAGAAGGATGATAGCAGAAAGTATTATTATTTACAATTTATGTTAATAAATATTATTTTTTTGTAGCCTTTGATTTCTTTGTTTTTTGCTCACCTGTCCAAAGTGCATAGAAACATTATTCTGTAGTGCGGCATCCGTTGTCGGTTTGTCAGCTGTCCATCGTCGATTTTTACTAAAAAAAATTTTTTTTTCCATAATCAAAAGATCGTTGTCGTGGTATCTGACCTGTATTATGATGCGATCAAGAATGGCTATAAATACTATTCGACTTTGCCAATCTATTTACCTAGTTTAAATAAGTTAAAAGTTCAAGGATCATGATGATGCTATTTCGAAATATGAGGTTTAAAGGTTTCTTAAGAAGATTGACCCAAACTTTTTGTCAAAATCTCCGAGGTTAATTGACCGAAAGGTCCATGGAAATGGTTATATATCTGTAGGAGGATGAAGGGCTACCGAAACTATTCGAACAAAATTAAATTGTCCTTACCAAGAAGCCCCATGCTATTGAGGGCGAATCATCATGGGCTGAAAGTCTGTCTATGTTTAACAACTTTCAAGATAGCAAGGGTCAAATGTCAAAAAGCCTAAGGTCGTGATATTGGGTTTGAAGCAGTTTGATAGAGGATTTTCCAGTTCGTCAGATTCAATTATCGTGATATACGGGTAGAAACGAATAAAAGATTTTTTTTTTAAATGTGACTCTGGTAATTTAAATGATTTTTGCAACTTGATATTTTCAATTCAATAACACCCACGCATGGTTTAACAGTATACAATTATCTAAAGCATGTACTATATTTAAATTTCTGTAGTTTAAAAAAAATTGCTTGTATACAAAGTTACTTCTTGGTGAAACCTCAAATAGGACAAGTTATTAATTTGAGTTAAGATGTGACATAAAGAGGGACATTAAAAATTGGGAATTCAGACGTCGACCATCAGAGAGTTCAATTCAGCAGTATCATGGATCGTAGAAAAGACTATTCAATTGAAGTAAGGTATCCAATTGTCACTTTATAAGTGTGTGAAATCTGATGAAATTATCTTACGAAATGACGCAACTGAAGCGCTGACAACACTTTTCTACAGATGATAACGGTGACCTTGACCCAACGGCACTGGAATTCGTATTTGAGATACAATAGTAATCTATGAGAGTGTGAATTGCAAATTGTCCTAAGAAGTAAAGCTGCTAAAGCGATGTCAAGCTTTTTTTTAGGACTGTGATGTTGTCCGCGACCTTACATCCTCGTAATTCTCTCATTGTAATATAGTGGTTTTTCACGAGAACGCGAAATTTTGATCAAAATCCCTCTCCTCTCACCACCCGTGCCGACAAACATTTTTAGCATTTGTTTTGACTTCGAATCTGTACACATGATAAATTCCCCCCAATACAAAAGCCGCCTCTGATGTGCTGACAAGGAGCTTTTAACACTGATACCATTGACATTGAAGTTGACCCAAGAAGTCTAAAATAACATATCAATCGAGATAAGAAATTACTCTTTATAAGTGTGAATATTTTAATAAAATCATGTCTCTGAAGAAAAGAAGTAGCTAATTTAGTTGACACGGATTATATATATATAAAGTTATGGTTAGGGTGACCTTGACCTTTGAACTAGTACCCAAAAATTCGAAACTGTGCGCATTTTGATACAAACCCCCTAAGAAGTGAGATTGTTAGAGCGCTGACAAGGGTAAGCAATGCGTAGTGCATGGTACATTCTAACATACGTTATTCAACATCCATATATCCCCTCCTCGACAATTGTCGCGAGAGGAAAAAATGATTATATGGTGCTTTAAACCTAAACAAAATCATGTAAGTATACATTCAGACAAAGTAATATCATTCGTAAATATAGGTTAAGGTTTCTGGACGATTGAATCATATTACATACTGATATACTGACGGACTCTTGTTATGTAATGATTAAAAACGTTTATAATTACACCAGTGATACTTGGGAGTTGTTATATAAACATTACGCGGTGAACTTTAACTTGTATGAGCATGCGCAATTATGTCTAATGTTTGTGAACAAAAACGCATAATTTATATTACCGAAACTGAATCGGTGACAGCAATAGAAATATATGCACAATCACGCCCCATATTCATTAGATTTTCAGTACATGATGAGATCCTAAATCTATTGCACCTACTTCATCGCAACTAACTATCTCACATTAACGGGGGCTTTTGATAACGTCTAATCAGCTGCATCGTGTGTAGTGTCGGCTGTGTATTGCTGTTTGCTAAGGCAGTGTTCATGACCCATATAACACACAAGTGATTCATATTATCAAACTTCCCTGTTTCTCGGAATCAAAGCGAACAGATTTATAGAAAACAAAAAATCGAAAGTGAAAGTACATTGACATCAACGTAATCATAAATAAACAAGAACATTGATTACTGAACTGTGTGAAGTGTATCTCCGGTCCAACGTTTAGAAAGCTAGTCGACGATCATAGACTGCGACCGGTTAGCAGTCCTCCTGACTGGATAAATGGGTGTTCTTGTGACCCAAGGAAGTGAATGTAAGTTTGATAATAGTTGCCATTAATTTCGATGTATTATTTTGACTTTCATAATATGAATATGTAGCAATGTTCATACTCAGCCGTTCGATAACATTTTTGCAGACTTTGATATAACTGCAATTCGGTAGATAGCTAGTGAAATATCAAATAAAAAATTAAACTTTCCTACCACGTTTTAAATCATTCCAATATTGGCGCGACTTAGGTCATACACATACAAAGACATAAAAAGGAAAGTCAAAATCTAGACGCGGAGGTACAGTTAGAACAAAATTGAACATGAAAAATAAGTTTCTCCCTAACGTCTCACTATGTGACGTTACGATCTTGAAAACATTAACATTTTGTAAAATAAATTCGTTTCAGTAATGGCACATCGATGCCCTTGAGAAGATAGCGTTGTGATAAAAGATGGATAGATATAAACTAAAGAGGCATAACTCGTTTCTAACTGAAAAGTATCTACCTGCAAAAAAGAAATTGAACGTGGCAGAGCACGATGACCATCAACAAATTCATTTTGAAAAAGCTAAGGCATCAAAGAAAAAAAGGTCTTATCGGCGGAAGTTATATTCAGGAAGACGGGAACCTGAACCAGGCAGAAGAAGGGTAATGAAAAGAAATAAGCATATGTGGACAGAAAGGAGGCATTTGGGTAGACAAAGAAGACGAGAACGAAAAGAAAATACAAGATACGGACAAGAAAACAGAATTGTTCACATCGGGAATAAATATACAGAAATAAGACGACTGAGGGAATGGAAAAGATGGAAAATGCAAAGAAACGGAAGAGAAAATGGGATCGATCGTACCAGAGATGAAAACGTGTTATCTGATGATGCCATAAGGTTTGGAATTGACAATAAAACATTGAAACAGAAGCTTCTTCAAATTTTGACGATAAGCAAGAGCAGCTGAAATTGATAAATTTACTGCATGAAATATGTCAATCACCAAATAGGCACTGTGTAAAAAGTGTTTTTTTGACATTGCGAAAAGAACAGTTTTTCGAGCGAAAAGATGTTTTAATGGTACTACGAAAAATTGCTGCCTCCCGCCCATCGTCTGAAGATGAAAGAACTACCTTAATGGCAGGAAACATTGTGAAATCATACTGCTCGTTCCTCAAAAGTATCAGAAAAGTTGATTGGACTTTGCAGAAAATTATCAGCCAATTCGAAACGACTCTGAGGGATTCGCAGAATTTGCATATATTTTCAAGGTGTGATTTTGGACATCACAGATCTTTTATAGATTGTGACCTTGATTTAGTTCTTCAACCTACCATGTCAGCATTATATGATAACGTCAAATTTGGAAAATGTGAAACTACCGAGCCATTTAAAACCGCAAGAGGTCTTCTTGCGAGGAAATTTCATCAGTATAAGGAAGACATCACTCGTCCACTTACTCGTGGTTTGTCGCGACTGAAACGTTACTTGACAAGAAACACCGATCTTGAGAATTTTCGGGATGATGATATCCGTGTTTATCGTGATACACAAATCATGTGTAGTATTATAGATGATAGAAATGGCTTTATAACAGCAATACAACTAGACATTAGTCAACCGTTGGTGAAAAGCATCATGAAGGGACACCGACATTTATCAGCAAGTGGAACACTGATTTGTATGTCAAATGATTTTTTCGAAAGAAATATCGTGTATGGGATTGTTGTTGAAAACGACCAGGAAGATGATATGACAGAAAATGGCATAGTATCTGTTGAGTTTCCACAAAGTTTTATTAAAACTCGAAACAATTTCGGAGAGGTCTTCACATTAGTAGAAAGTAAAAGCAATTGCTTTGCTTATCTCAGTGCTCTCATTGCAATAAAAGCACAGCTGGAGAAGAACACCAAACTTCCATTCGAACAGCAAATTGTGAATCATCAGCAATGTGCCCACCCACCAAATTACCTCACATGTCAACTTGGTGATGAAAAACGAATTTCGTTTGACTGTCTTCGAAAGAAGGCCAACCGTGAAGAAAGCACAGCGCGCATCGAGAACTTAAATGGAAAACAAGTTGTGAATGCGAATGATGATTTTCCCAGACCGAATATATTTAATACTGAAAAATGGCCTTTCCCAGAAGAATTAGAAATGGACTTTTCTCAATACAGAGCATTTTCTGACGCATTGACGCAAGAATTAGCTTTGATTCAAGGACCACCTGGCACGGGGAAAACAGTCATCGCTTTGAAAATTTTGGAGATGTTCCTTAACAATGGAAATATCTGGAGTAAACAACAAGTTGGACCAATCATTGTTTTGAGCTACACAAACCATGCCTTAGATCAGTTTCTTGAAGGCATAATACGAATGTCAGTCATGGATACAACTTCAGTTACGGACATTATCAGGGTAGGCTCGCAGAGCAAAACTGAGAGTTTAGACAATTCAATTTGGCACATCGTCAGAAGGAATGCAAGACAAACACCCGATCTTTGGCACTTAGTGCAAAGCACGCTGCACAAAAAAGACACAACGACATTGCAACTGCCATACGAACTTACCGTACGTCACTCATTCATGAGAGTTTTCTACGTGATGTCCACGCGATGTCGGATCGCTTATTCGACTCATTAAAAAAACCACGTTTACCTTCATTACCGACAGATCAAACGTACCTCTGCAGGTGGCTAGGTCTTTTCGCAGATGACTTTCTCCCGATACACACAGGGAACGAAGAGTATGCTGTGGAAACCAACGACATTCCCATAAACATATGTAAAAAAGAAAGGGGTCAAGGGATCGAAGACATCGAACTTGAACAGCCGCAATTAGATGATCAGAACCTGGATCAGAAATTGAAAAAACCAATCATTATTGAAACAAAGGAAACAGAGAAGGACCTACGAAACGGGATTAAATGTTGGTCTTTGATTGAACAAACGCACAAACAGGCAATACTAAAGGAAGTAAAGCGCCGACTCATGCTTACTAAACCTATGTCGGTTGCAGAGGAAAATCAAATTAAAGACGTTTGGGATCTATCACAAGAGGATCGATGGCGCCTATACACACTCTGGATACAAAAAATCCTCAACATATTGCAGCAGGAACTGATGTCCGTCCAGAGGCGATATGAAAATACTTGCGGCAAGTACAAAGAATATATGCATTTAGTGAATGTTAACATATATAAAAGTGCCAAAATTGTGGCAATGACGACTTCAAGAGCTGCTGCTGACCACGAAATACTTCGTAGGATTAACTCCAAGATAATGATTATTGAGGAAGCCGCAGAGGTTCCAGACCATCATATCTTGGCATGTTTACTTCCATCACTTCAGCATTTAGTGATGATTGGGGACAATCAACAGCTCAGACCATCCTACAACGATTATAAAACCGCAAAGCGTTATGACTTAGACGTGTCCATCTTTGAGCGTCTTGTTACATCTGGACTTCCCTTTCAACAATTACAGTTCCAGCACAGAATGAGACCTGAAATTTCAGATTTGTTGACACCGTCTATATACAAAGAATTACACAACCACGCCAGTGTTGTGGAGATCGAGGACGTCCGTGGAATGGAAAGAAACGTATATTTCCTTAATCACAATGTAAAGGAACATGCAGATTCTGATAAGGACTTGAAGAGTCACAAAAACCAGCACGAAGTTGACTTCATTGCAAAGCTTTACCGATACTTGAGGCTGCAAGGATACGGTAGTAGAGATATTACCGTGCTTACGACTTACAAAGAGCAAGAGAGGCTTCTGAAAATAGCCATTAGAGATGTCGAGGAAACTGAGCATTTCTATGAAGTAACATCAAACTCATCGGGGAATGATAGAGATATTCCTGGTTCCAGTACAGCACATCTTAAAAGTAGATGTAAATCACACACCACCACAGTACGTGATGTAGACAATGCCATGCTATTCTCAAATATGGCAAAGAATATCATGGAAGACGAAAATGCACGAGTCACAACAGTTGACAATTTCCAAGGAGAAGAAAACAAAATTATATTGCTGTCGCTTGTTCGAAGCAATTCAAAGGGAAATATTGGTTTCTTGAGGGAATCAAATAGAATTTGTGTTGCTTTATCAAGAGCGAAAGCAGGTCTGTACGTTATAGGTGATTGCACATTGCTACGGGAGAAAAATGATCTCTGGAGAAAGATCCTTCAAAAGGCAGATTTTAAGGGCATTGTTGGGACATCACTTACTCTTCGCTGCAGGAATCATCCCCAGAACAAAACAGAGGTTTCTCATGCAAACGATTTCCAAAACGTTGAAGATGGAGGCTGCTCTTTGAAATGTTCTGCCAGACTCGCGTGCGGTCATTACTGTTTTCGAAAGTGCCATACCTACGATCCAAATCATAGCCATCTACCGTGTTTGTCATTTTGCCAAAAACTGTGTTCTTCAGGGCATAAATGTCAGTCCAAGTGTTTTGGATGTCGTGAGAAATGTTCCCCGTGTATGTTCGAAGTGTCAAAGGTTTTACCATTATGTCGACACACTGTGAAGGTACCATGCAGTGAAATAGTTGAAGAATTCCTCTGCACTGAACGTTGTGAACAAACACTACAGTGTGGACATCAGTGTCAGCAAAAGTGTGGATTCCCTTGTAATACAAATAAAAACTGCAATGAACAAGTAAGAGTTAAAGCTGTATGTGGACATATGGTTCAGACGGCTTGTCATACTAAACAAAATCCCATCTGCAAAGTGAAATGTTCCGAAAAATTGGAATGTGGCCACTTTTGTAAAGGTACTTGTCAATCATGCTTTGCAGGTGCCTTGCATCAGAAATGTCGCGAAAAGACTCAATACAAACAGCAATGCGGTCATACCATCATCATAGATTGTATTCTTTCATACTGGGACCAAAAATATGATGGAAACTTTTTGAAATGTAGAAAGTCATGTGAGTGGCGCTGTGAACACGAGGCATGTGAAAAGAGTTGCGGAGAACCATGCACTAGGCAACCATGTAATATCCGATGCTCCAAGAAACTCAGTTGTCGTCATCTGTGTGAACTTTTATTATGTGATCATAACGGCGACCATTGGTGTCGTAAGTGTTCGAGAGTAAACGTCAATGGCGGCTTGAGGACAAAACGGGCAAACGTCAGAAATCCGCATCATATCAGATTAAAACGTTGTGGATGTGTTTTTGAAACCGAGGTTTTAGACAATTATTTGTTTTTGCGAGATTATACTGTCGTGGACGTGCCAAGATGTCCAAACTGCCAATTTGTGATTACCGATATGCGCTATTTCGGCTTCATTCGATACATCCAATGGTCAAGATTCAACGCCGAGCTGGATGCGGATACATTGCTTAACACTGAAATATTAAATCGGTGTTGGAAACAAAATGGATATCAAAACTACTGCTTCCCGAGATGGTTTGAATTACAACGACGACAAGAGGTTCGTAGTAGACAATGTCACACAACCAAAAGTATCGAACTGCAGGCAGAACTTTTCCAGTGTATTTGTTCGATGGACGAAGTTGCAAAACGTTACAATTCTGATGTTTCCTTTAAATGGGACTGTTCATTCATAATCGATCAGCTTTGTGAACGGATTAGAAGAGATCAGAATATTTTTTCAGCCCAGGAACTCCGCGAACTAGCATTAGTTCTTCCAAGATTGGCAACGGCATTGAAAAGTTGTATCTTAAGAAGCAGATTACAATTTAATCGAAAGACAGAGGAAATATGCTTCTATTTAGAGAAGTGCGGGGACATTTACAACAAAAATTTTGTCACTCACACGGAGAGAGTAGAAACACTCGAACCTGGAATATTCGACAGAATAGACCTTGGAATGAATAATAACTTTGATTCTTTGTATACGGATGCTGAATTTGGCACAAGCAGATTTTAGCCAGATTTGTTAAACTGTAAGTACTTACATATCTCCTGCATAGATCTTCGCATGTTGCATTTTCAACACTTCGGTATTATTTTATCAAATGTTTAAAATTGTTGATATCAACACTTCTATTTCAATATAGCATATTTTAGTTTAAACTTCTTTGCTTAATAATCCAATTCTCATGTTTCACACAATATCTATCAACTTTAACAGAGCTGAGATAGTAATGTAACACATATCATTACATTATAATGCAAGAATTGTTGAAACAATACCGTAACGTACCGGAAAAACCGTTAAAGTCAGTTATGGCGACCTATTCATACGAAAGAAAACCACAACAATAACGTGATATTTGATAATATTACAGCTTGTATCTATCAAATGCTCAGTAGTATAATTATGTTTGTTTATTTTATTTAGTCACTGCTTATAACAGCTTTTTGGCTTAAGATTATCGCATACCACAAAGGGATGATGATATTGTTCGTAGGATTTCGAATGATTTCGAATGTTACAGAAAAAAGGCGGAGAGAGAGAGAGACAGAGAGAGAGAGAGAGAGAGAGAGAGAGAGAGAGAGAGAGAGAGAGAGAGAGAGAGAGAGAGAGAGAGAGAGAGAGAGAGAGAGAGAGAGAGAGAGAGAGGGTGGGTTGGGGGATTGGAATATGAAATTAACTATATATCGATTCCTTCGATGTTAATTTATAATATATCATTTATCAATTCATATGAATTACAATATAGATGTATTTAAGTCAAGAAATAAATCCATGCTTTATGTATTCAAATTTGTCTTTTTTTCAGATGGCCGGATGAACAGCCAAGATCAAGAAGGAAAGATCAGTTATTGATATTTTCTTATTGGTGACGTGTTATCGGTGAAAGATTACATCAGTGTCAATAAAAGGAAATCAACACATTCACCTCAAAGTTTTCCAAGATGTATGGAATATTTTTCATTTATGTGATGTGATTGATGTCCTTGGATTCATTCCATATAATGTTATATATGATCAGAATAACAGTTAAAATGATATATAGTACTCGTGCTCATCCTCAATCATATATAACTGATGTATGTTATTACCACTGATGTATTCTTCTGTAAAATTATCAATTTTTGTGGGCAATTTATTTTCGTTGATTTTGATGGTAATCCACGAAATCTTATGTTCAAATACTGTTATAATTAGTGTAATTAGATAGATAACCAATTACATCCGCGAAAGCAAGTTTTCTCAAAGTAGGTGAGATATATTTATCTAATCACCCTTACCAAGGTACAAGGACAGTACAGTGTAGAAATATTGTTCTGTATCGAAGGGACAGATATTTGATAACCGGGAGATTAAAGCTGGTTAAGTTGTATTGTATTTACTGGTGATAACTGAGTTATATTTAGATTTGGAAAACAGGTCGTATGTCTAATTCAATTGTTATATAATCTATATCTCGTCAATTATGAATGGGGGTGTGTCATAATAACCTAAGTAAGATTATTATGACACACCCCCTCAAGGAAATAACTCGTCCTCAAGTTTCCGGCAATGTTTTTGAAAGCAACGCTGAATATTATTCCACATTTCTTAACGTGGTCGCCAATATAACAGATGTCATTATTTATTTCGTTGTCTCCTCTAGGATTCGAGCCCGAAACTTCTGGGTTACTTTTATTACGTCGAGCTAAAGAAAACCTCTCGTTAGAAGAGCGGTATATTGCAGCTAGCATTTTACCAAAGTTACAAAACGTTAATAATGCCATTTATTTGTCGTTAAAACTAGAAACATCAATTTATGATACCCTGATTAATTTTGAATTCTCAAGACAATACATTCTTGGAAACATGTGATATTGCTGGGTAAAGATATTTTTCGATTATCGATATGTCCTCTAACACAACGCAATATTAATTTATTTATTCTTTTTCCTCAAATCATCCTCCAATTGCCTGTGAATTACGAATTTGACGTGAAATTTTCAGGAACGTTTGATTCTTTTGAGAAATATCTACACGTGAATTTTGTTATGTCAAAGCATTATATAGGAACGAAGCAGGTGTAAAATAGGTATAATCTATGAACATGTATTAATTTGTAATAACATATCGATCTGATTTCTGTGATCATTGATTATGTTATTCATAATAAGTGGTATATCATATTTAAGATTTCTTATATGATACCCTCGCCGAATCATAGACAATGGCATATGGGATAATCCTTGTTCACAATTTCTAGTTATTTGGTAACCTAGAATTGAAGAGCTTTAACTAAATCCAGGTAAACTGCAGACTGGACTTCTTTCCGTTTCTATAAATCCTGCAGATAGATTTTCAATTATTTTGCATCCCTTTACCACATATTAATTTATTTATTCTTCTTCATCTTCAGGTAGTGTTGTTTTAGGTTCAATCAATTTCCGGATTCGTGTTTCCAGCTGCGTTTACGATTCTAAATAATGTAAATAAAGTTGTTTTCCAAATGATTCCGCTAACAAAGATTGCCAGTTAAATTAGCTGACTCACAACAGAAATAGAAAGAGTATGAGCATGAAAATGCAAAATTGCACGACGTTCTTTAAAATGAATTAAGTTAATTAAAATTCTTAATCGGCAATATAATCTTCGATGATAAGCTTTTTCATATTTACATTATCTAATTTTAAGTTTTGCAATTTTATGATTTATTTTGGAGATAAATTCTTCATTATCTTTTCAATTATACTTACTTCAACTATACATCTTTATTTACATACTTTGAACTACAATATAGTATATCACTCTGTTATACATTTATTTGTTTGAATACAGCTATCGTGTACATGGCTATAAAGGATACACTGTATGGCGCTATTCAAGATTTTTCTCGTCGAAATTGATATTTGATATGGTCGTATTAAAAATTTAGCATGGGCTATAAAGGTTTTCCTTAAGAAAATATTTAAGTGCTACATACGTAAGACTATTTTGTTAGTATATCATTTATCTTAAGAAATCACGAAGGTCCCATGTCCTGTTTCATATATAGCAATGACTAATACATCGTGCTGTTGGTATAAATGTTTTATACTATATAGAAAGAAACCTGACAGGACATCATTGCCTAAACTCTTTACTGCTGTTACAATAGATTTTGTTTAGTGAGAATCACCTGTGAAAATGTACTGAAGAGCAACGACCCATTTATAATGCATATCAGTTGACTGCATTTAAGTGTGGCGTATGTTTTTTTAATGGTATCATTGCAAGCTTAGAACTTTAATATAAAAAAAAAACAAACAAAATATAAATATGCCGTACCATAAGACATTATTCATCATGTCCATGTTTTGTCTAAGAGTATATGTGAGTGTTATGATATCTGTCTTTTCTTAACTATTTATAATTATTGTCTTATGTTTTAATTGTTTTGTTTGGTTTTCTTTGGGAGTGATAGTATAAGTAAATATTCCCTGTTTTATCATAATATCAAAAGCAACTGTTCATGACTAGAACATGCTTTAACTTAGGACGTATATTAGAAATCGCCAGACTACCTGTGCAGCTCATGCACTGACCAGTGTAAATGACACAGAGGTATACACAACTTACCTGTGTTATGTTTCAAGCTTTAATTAATAAAATTGAGCAACACACAAACATTTAACACATGCACAGTATCATTTTTCCGTTCGAGTCATGAAAATAACACGAGATTTTCATGCGAGAAATGAATATGGTATGCACATCATTCCACAGTTAGATATTGATTTTTTTTTCTAAAAAACCCTGGTATTCTTTTTATGTTTGCTATAATTATATCACATCTGAATCACATAACGTTATATTGTTTTATATTACCTTTGTTGTATCCATTCTGTTGATAGAAATAGTTAGCACTTCCCTAATCGGAAATTCTAAAATCGATCAGCAGAATTGTTTTATCAATGATCACCGATGCCTTTTTAATATCGATTGATAAATTTATGTCGCCTTTAGTCTAACGTTGTCTATCTTGCGTCTTAAGTGATTATCATTTTCGACCGCTTTTTAAAAAACTCTGAACCTATTTAATGTATTTATAGAAGAAACTCTCGACGGACTAAGTTAAACCAAAAAATTCTATTATATTGTTTTCAACCGACGGTGTAGAGTGGGACGAAAATATCAAATTGGAAAAAAGTCTTAAGATGAAGCTTGGTAGAATGGAGTTTTCTTCAAAGATGATAATCTGGTTTAATATCTCAAAACGATTCATAAAAAGGGATATAACTCACTAGTAATTCTAGAACAGAAAATCCTTTATATTTGGGAAAAATAATTATATTCAACAATAATGCACATACAGCTATACTTGCCTCTCCATTGGATGGGAAGAGGGTCAACTTTACTACCATGGACTCTTATAACCCAAATCCTGTCTATATGGAGGAACAAGTATACCAAATGTGCATTTATTTCATTTAACAACTACTAAATTCTATAGATTGGATTATTTTATATTTTTTTACTAATTATGTCTAGTTACCAAAATGAATAAGGGTTATCTCCCTTACAGTCATTAATTACATAAAACTCAGTAGTTGTCTGTCTGTCTGTCTGTCTGTCTCTGTCTATCTGTCTGTCTGTCTGTCTGCATGCATGTATGTATGTATGTATGTATGTATGTATGTATGTATGTATGTATGTATGTATGTATGTATGTATGTATGTATGTATGTATGTATGTTGTATATACTTTGTATGAAAGTGTGCTAAAGACTGATGTCTGTATACATGTTTATTCTATTCTATAACTGTCTGACCACCTGTGTTGTCTTCGGAGAGGACTTATATAGGCTTATGCCTGCTGTCCGATCCTATTAATGCAATTTGTTTTTGTATTAATTAAATATTTTGAAACCAAAAGATGAAAAGGTCTTGAGGAACTTTGACAAAATTTTGATATTCATGACCCTAGAGGCCCACTGTTCCCATTGAGGGAGGGGTAAAGGGGATCGAAGTTTATATAGGGAAATTATATTTTTGTGCATTATTTGCTACTGGAAATTATTGAAATTCTGTTAAAATTTTAGAAATTAACATTTGAATGGCGTACATACATATTTGATACTAACTGGATTCAGAGGTTAATGGACAGGGTCATAATGGGTCAAATTAACTGAAATTGCAACATTCCTCTTCTCAAGATCCATGTATGGTAGTGTCCAATATTTTTCATGAATGAAATGGTCAAAAATTGATTTTAAAAAATTGTGAATTTCATAGTTCAAGGGTCTTACACTTCCCCCATGTAGGGGTAGTTTACTATACTTTATATAGGAAAATGATAACTTTGTCCATCATTTGTTCAGCTTGATAATAATTCAATTCTCATTGTTTGCAGGGAGCTCTCAAGTGACTATGAATGCCCTTGAGCCTCTTGTTCAAGGAGACTTGCAATTTTCAATATTAACAGATGTTGAACTGAAAATTTTCTCCAACGAATTCTTATAATTAAGGTTTTTAATTTATTAACTGTTTCAATGTAAAGAATATGTTTTTATTTCAACTTAACTTTTCAATGTTGAATGAAAATTTTGCAATATATATATATATTTACGTATTTCCATTTCAAACAATTTTATTGACATATAATTATAATAATAATTTAATATGATACCCGGAAAGTAACAGTTTACTTCCATCTACCTGAATTTAATTGTAAGGCTGGATAAGAATGTATGTGAGGTAATCGAAATAAGACAGTTGTGTGGTGATTAGATAAATAGAAAGTAAGGGTATAGAGATTATTAAAATGGTGGTTTTTCTTGCAGTTGTTATTCATAATCTAATGCACACATTACAATATTTTTGACCGTGACCTTACAGCGTCACAACGATTACACCATACATCGATTTAGCTAGAGTTTGATCCATTGCTTGACTCTACAGTGTCTAACAATGAATTTGCATACAGAGATGTTATTCACTTGTACAATCCTCTTTAATGGTGTATAGAATTTTTAAAGTTACATTTTAATCGACAGTGAAACAGATCGTAAGTATCGTTTAATATATGTAACTTGCTACTGATATGTGATCAGTATATGCACAATTTTTCCCTAGGTACTGCACGTGATTAAAGAACAGAATAGAAAAAAAGTGCTTTCTTTTGTATTTTTATGAACTCCGATCCGTCACATACACACTGAATTAAAAGATGTAAAAATGGAAAGAGAGAAAAAAGAACTCTTTGGCTGATAGCCCGTGCATGAATGCGTATGTAATAACCGCGTTTACTAGATTCTATGGACATATTCGGTTCATATTCAGGCAAAAAGTGTAACCCAATTACAGTGTACACCTCAGATAGATCGTTTAATTTTTGTTTGCATCTTTTGAAATAAAATTCTTGCGTGCAGGATATTTTAAGAACCTTGTAGTGAATTATTCCTCAGTAGATTTAAATTAAAGGAAGAAGGGGGTTTGGGAATGGGGGTGCATCAATGATAGCCCATTTTGTTTTTATTCAATAATAAGGTAATTGTAAACGAGCAATAACACATCTGCCATTCTTTGTTTACATGTTTGACGGAATAAAAAATGGAACACAATAAATATTGTATCGTAAAATTCATTGCCTTAAATAGTAGTAAAGAGTCTCGTGATGTCCCTCGGAAACAGTGTAGTAACCTCTCCCGATCGCGTCCCACGCCACTGCTTCTGCGTCCTTTTCGTGGTGAAAAGATACACCTACTGGGCTCTGCATTAACGTTTCCTTCACGCTGATCCCGTCCTCCCTGTTCCAATAAAATATTTGATGATGAGTCTGTATTAGAATCTCTCGGCCATCGGGAGAAATGTCCCCACCTGTCGGGTCATCACTTCCTGTCGACAGAGGGAGGGTGACAAGATTTGATACCATTGCTAATGCTGATGTATTCCAAGCAGAACTGTCGATCATACCGACCCGTCCTCGACCGTCTGTTACCTGGCAACGAAATGTTGTGAAAACTTTCATTACTTATGAAAAAAACAAACAAACAAACAAACAAACAAACAAACAAACAAAAAACACCAATATATATATATATACAGCAATATATACAGACAACTACTGTATAATCGTAATTTTTAGTGTTGCTCAAATTTTGTTGTTTTATCAATATACCTTTTAGTTGGCACTTCATTTCGGGGATTAATCTTGCTCAAAATTCACATACATTTAATATTTTATCCATTTATCATTTCGTGGACAAATATGTTCCCGGTTTTAGAGTACCCGTGATTTAAGCGAAGATAAATTCTCCACGGAAATTACTTATTCTTCAGTTCATCAAATTGTCAACGAACTCATCAATGTTTTCCTTATATTAGCTTTCATTTATTTTAATCTGTATCGTCTTCAAATTTACTGTTTTCAGAAAGGTTTGGTACGATGTTTATTTTCATGTATAGGTTTAATTTCATCGAAGTATGTTTAAATATAAGAAATGTAAATCTACAATGAAAAGATCACATTGTAAATCATATATCAGGACACTTCTATAAAGTATGATATCTACCTTTGATATAATGTAAATATTCCTCTGTGGGTCAATCATGAGAGTTTCGGCGTCGTCTTGGTGGGGGTTCCATCTATAATATCAAACGAACATGCAATAAAACCACAACTGCTCGGACATAATTAATATTTAAGTTCGGGATATTAAAGTGATCACCTCCGGGGTATACAAAGCAGCTACTTATCCAATGAATTATCACGCAAGTTGATATACTATGCAGCTAAATTTCTCATACCCATTGGCTGTCATATTTTCTACCTCATTATCTTTTCTGATAATCAAATGCAATAACGCCGAATTATGGATTATTATCAAGATGATAATGAATAAATGAACAAACACATACATGAAACGAATTTGTGCTTCAACATGGACATCTATATCTCCATGAGAATCCAGGGAAGCTGGCTCCCGAATTTTGTAAATTATATTCCTAGCATTGTCTCCTGTGTGATCGCCTGTATCTCCTACAAATGATCCAAGAACACCCCAGAAATACAATTAAAGAGGAAATATTCCTGGTATAGATATGTTAGAGAAATTCAATACATTATTATTTACAATTCCCAATAGGTGATAAATGTTAAAGCTTGAAGCTCAATTCCAATAGAATACCTTCATCCCAGCTGAAACAAATATGATTTTAAATTCTCTATTTAACTTCTATTTTCCCTTGTGCCCCCCTCCCATTGACCCCTGTGTAGATATAATTAATTGAATCCTGACTACTGAGATTGTGTGGTTTTTTCACCAGTGGGTCAGAATCTTATCATTCTTACAGCAAAAGGACTTTTGTTAAAGAATTTGCTACATTTTCCCATTTAGGCCCCATCTTCATAAGTACTTACAGAAAAAGGATCTTGAAACCATACTTCTATTTCCCCTAAGGGGCCCCCTCCCCTCCCCACGCCCTTTAAATTCTTCAAATCTGATTCCTCTTCACATAACTTCAGACTAAGTAATACAAAATCTAGGCATTCGTTCAAAAAACTAATTGTGAAAAATAAGGTCTATTTCACCAATTAGATCCCGCCCTCTTGTCTCAAAGGGCGGGGGTTCAGAGCGACTGAATCCTACTTTTCACATATGGATGCTTTATACTGCATTCAAAACGAAGAAATTGCAAGATTTTACAAAATTCCCCTTTTTGGCCTTCCGCCACTTCCAAGGGGTCAGACCTTACATTTCTTCACAAGTTAGTCCACTTCCCTAAAGCTGATCCAGCCCGCACTTTTTACAAATACAACAAGGCCTCTGTGTCTCGTCAAGATTGCAAGATCAAGACACTCATTGGTCACCAACGTTGGCCGTAACCTACGTAACTCCTATTATATATTCGAATTTATATTTGGACTTTCTTTTGGAATAATGAGTATTTAAAAAAATAATTAACTGTATTCAATATTTTGGTTACTACATATTCCCATCTGACATTTCACAACGTGAAGGACATATTTTATTGAAATCTCTAATCCCTTCTGCAATGTCATTTTCTTCTGAAGGTCAAACCGCCGTGACATAATAACAAATGGAACAAAATATTTGATAAAAAGAGAACTTGTTCAAGTATACCTATATATATACAATGCCCTCCGTTGTCATCGCAGGGTCCACAGGCAACATCCTCCCAATCGTGGTTGTGTGCGCCATGAATGTCAATCGTTTTCTGTAAAGTAAATATAGATAAAATTTACACCAGAACCAAAGGTTACAAGGTTGCAAGTTTTCGGGTTGATGATTGGTAATATGACTCTTTTTAAACATTTATATATAAGTTCTCCTTTTGGAAATGAATTGTCAACAGACAAGACCCGCTTTTCCCTGTTTCTTATTTTCCTACTTTTATGAAAACTCTAGGTTAAGCCTTAAATAAGATGAAAGGGATGATGTCGTTTATCATTTGTCATTCAAGAAATTTTTCCCTAAATGTCTCTTGTACAAATTTTGTAAGGTCGACTCTTAATTGTTGACGATTTCCCTCCATTTCTAAGAACTTCATGATAAAACTTGTAAGATTGTATTCTTAATTACTTCTATGATGTATTTACGTTAATCACTTGCTGTTCAAGTGTCTTTTGTATTTACTTCACGAGGAAAAAGATATCTTATTTTATTCTTTCAATACACGATATCTCATGTTCACATTTTAAGATAAGAGAACAATGTAAGTAAACATTTTACAGTTAGAAAGTATTTTCAATAGTCGCAACTTTTTTTTCACATTTAATTTTCATCCATGTTATGGGCTAACGATTATAATGGGAAACATTTGGTAACTGTAATGTTTTCACAAAACTCAATTAATTGCCAATATGCGACATGAAATAGAAATTATAAAACATAGTTATACGACGTCTAAAGTCCATAATTTCATACAGTCATATTATAGGGTTCATATATTTGCAAAGACGCTTGTTTAATATTCCATAACCGAAAAAAATTATACAAGTGTATTTCGTTCTATTGTGCTAAATAGGAACGCTTAAGGAGTCATAAAAAAACAAAACAAACACGAAATTGTGTAAAAGTTGTACAAGGTATCAGAAACGGTAGATCAAACCATGGACTGCGAGCAAAGTTTAAGGAAACAATTTTATCAAAACAATGTCTTTAACACACCTGAAAAAAGGTATCGTCTACAACAACTAGTACAGATGGTTTTACAATATACTGTCAGCGTACTTAATATGGTGTAGTGAAAATCTAGGCATTTTATCAGTGTTTGGCAAATAGCACAATGATGAATCCTCGCATCCATAATAATTTTACTGAAATAATACACAGTAATGGTAATTAGCAGAACCATATTTAAAAAACTGTAAGCGCAAACAGTGCTTACATTAGATCAGCGCTAAAATATTTAATTTTACGGTAACTAGAACTGCGTAGTAAGAAACAACATAGTTGTAAAGCAAAAATTCAAATACCTTTAATTCGCCGGTCAAAGAGCTGATGGCGTACAGTTTTGGTCCAGACCCTTTGTCATTGTGGGCATACAGGATGTTCGGGTGTATTCTGCTTGCGCATAAACCGGAAGTCTCGTCAAGAGCATTGACGTGACCCAAAGGAGTTCCGGGAAGAAAGTGTGTGAAAGCTAGAAATCAATAACACACACATGATTACTATTGAGGCCTGAAAGCATCGGGAGTCCGCAATGTTAATAAAGTTGCACTTGATGTTAGATATAATGGATTTTACTAAATTATCATTAAACATGAATATGAAAAATCAATGTTCTACAGGTATGGAATTGTAGGAATAGTACCGTCTCCTTCCATTGCATGATTGTAACAGGTGACTAAATTTGGAATTGAATTTTTGTTTCTCTTTTCCTGTCAGAAATTTCCAGAGTTCTGTCCCCTGGTCGAGGCTGCTCAATGCTCATCGCTGTGGTAGAGTAGCAACTGGTTCACCGATTGCAAATGTGAAGTGGTCCGGTTGAATGTCGTCTTGTTTTTTCTTCGTCAGTATCTTTAAGAAACAGCGCTATAAAGTAGGTTTCAGTTCTCCATATTCACAAGGCGGCCTACATGAGCATATTGCAGACTCACTTACATCGGAAGGTCGTCCTTGAATGACCACAGTGCTTGCGTTTAACAATATGAAACCAAATCAAAGCCTTCTGTATTGTAATTTGTGAGTAGTGAAATATCTGTTTTATGCCATTTAGAAGAAGCATAAAAAAGTGTCTTGCCCGATGACATGGCAATGGTATTGCAAGAGATCCATGACCTAAGCTCTGTAAAAACTACAAAGTATCCTTGATTGAGATCAAACCACACACCTCGCATATTCACCTGAATGTTCACGATTCTGATGTTCAACCGACTATGCAATTGCTGTTCCAAATTACAAAAACGTTCAAAGAAAAACAATTCATTGAAAAGCCAAAGCAATTCAACTAACTTCAAGTGCTTTCGTTATTGAAAATTTGACATTTGAAAAAGTAAACATAATCAGGGTGAAATTTGTGGTAACAACAAAATCACAACAACGGTCAGGTCGAAACTGTATAGGACAAAACATTTGTTTTTATGTAATCTAAATGGATATAACAGAAGCCTTTTGTTCATGTTTGCTCTGATTTTATTGAATTTGAGTTTGAATTATCATTCTTTTCACATAGTGGTATATTCTTGTAATTTTGTAAACAAGGCCATCGAATATTGATGTATTTTATCATGACTGATATACTTAATCATGTATGCCTATCTCCGATAATAGTTGCTAACATAAGCTACTTTCTCAGACAAATTCAAAGGTGTAACTATTTTTGATGCAAACCTACGATTGGCTGACAAATGGCAGTGAAATAAGTTATTGGTTAATAATTGTTTACTAGCTTTACGGTATATATAATAATACATAAATAATACCTCGGTGTGGAGACCATGAGTTTGTTAATATATATTATAAGTTATAAAGTTTTCTCAGCCATTGACACAATGCTACGTTAGCGCGTATTATCATATTGTAAGTAATATACATGTATAGTTGTGATCCTCCAAGTAAACGGGGTAGAGTATAATACATTTTTGTGTTAAACATAATGAATGTTGTTTACAAAAGTAATAATAAAAACTAAATATAAATTTAAATAAATAATAAAATATAGATAAATAAAAAATAGCCGAACTGTAAAGTTGTTGGGTTACATTTCATGTAACGTTATATGTCAACATTTATAGGAAACTGAAAAAATAGGCGTAATTTATGCAAAATATGTTACCTCTTCTTTCTAAAGAAAAAGAAATACGTGTCTCTCCGAGAACGAAAAGGCAGCAAAGGAAATAAACCAGCATGATAAGGTCTTGTGTTGACAGGATAATAGTTTGTGATTCTTAACTTAACTTGCACCTATATAGATCTGTTTATACGTGGGATGGTCAGATAACAGTCTTATTGTAAATATTTACTATTTGTACGTGCTGAGCTATCATAAGGATAATCGTTACTTTCGAATGCGAACATAATCTCATATTCAATAAAACTTTGGCACAATATGTAGAAAAGGAGGATTGGAGACTCCTAAAAATGTAAAAGCAGAATAAATAACACCAACGTTCCGGAGGAGTAAGCGTCTTCAGTTTCATCGACGACAATCGTCATGTAAATTCTTGTTAATAATGTCACATATGTACAATAAAATAAAAACATGGTTGTGATGTCGTCCTTTCTCCTTTTTGTACTATAGCCTAGCATGTTACCTGAAACTGTTCCATGTAACCCTGTGGCTGTTATAAAAGCGACTCACTCATTGGATATTCACTTATATTGTTCTAATCTGGATACAAAAACACAGTGTAACTTAAGTATAGACCGCCGTGTTTCAATGCAGGTTTGATTAAAAAGTCTTGCTTGGTCAATAATATTCACAGGGAGACAGTTTCCATAATTTCTAAGAAATGACATATTTCCAGTATTCATGTAGAGCTCTCTAGTGTAAACAGTTGAATTTTGTTCATCGCAAGCTAAGAGAGTTTTTCATGAAAGGCCCTAAATATCTTGAAATCCCATTCATTCATTGGAATATTAATTTCAAAGATGCTTATGGATTCTGTTGAAAACTATGCAAGAGAATGGTTGAAACGAGAACATGTTTAATTGGATTCAATTTCTTAGTGGTAAGGTCCACTCCTTCATTCGTAAAAGAATTTACAGCTTGAAATAAATGAAAATAAATCACGGGCCAGATTTTCTCGATTCACATTTCATGATTTACCAGATCAGTATGTTATTGTGCCTGCAGACAAGACGTCCAATAACTGGATCCTTGTCTGTTAACATTATCTTCTGTATACAAAAAGAACTGAGTTTGCTCGATGATTACGAAAACCCCACCGATACACTATGAAATCTTTCAAATATGAAATTCTGGCTAATCATGCTTTGGTATTACAATTTTTTAGATATAGCTAGTTTCAACTGCTCATATATCAATACTTTATGCACAAAGTCTATTAATCTCAATAATTATGTGTGATTCTACACTGAATTTTTGGTAAATGTTACGTATATTGGGGCTTTAATGATATTGGCACGGACCTCCCCTGATTATATATTTTTCAAAATTTTACAAGAATTCATATCAACAACGTTTTATTGCTGGGTCGTCTATCTAATAAACCAAGCCTTTGTCAAAATTACTATCGACCATTCATAGTACTGGTCAATCTGGGTTACAGTCTTATTGTGATATTGTTTACTTCAGAAGTGCAGTTAATAGTACATGGATTTTGAAGATCTCCAAGAGCTTTTAACCAATTTTATATGGATGTGAACTGTACTGATGCATTTTTCGTAAAAAAATGCATTCAAATAAAAAACTAATTATACGGAGAGAAAATCGCTTCTTATTGACAACATTTCGTCAGTCTGGTGGTAAGATATGCAAACATGCTATTGGCAAATTATTATCAGAGTAGGTCACAACGATCTTGCAAAATGTTTTAATTTCACTTTCAAATATATTGATGACGCCTTGTTTTTAAATAACAAGAAATGCATTGCCACGTCCATCAGATATACCTATCAGAAATAGAAATCAAATACACTACAGACTATTCTACATCAGCTGTATGATAGTGATGATTTCAATTTCCCTATTGTGAATTTTCCATTTCTGGATAGCAATATACCTGCATTCCCAACATACGTTGTTTATATTTTGGAGTTGATTCGGTCTTCAAAAGCCTGTACCCATTTTCACAATTTTCGTAGAAGAAGTCTTTAACTGGCGGACAAACTCATAACACAGGATTTCAAAAGATTCAGGTAGATGAAAATTATTGGAAAGTTTTATAGTCGTCATCGTGATTCCACATAGAAGTTTTCGATTTCTTTGTGCAATATGAAGCTGGACGTGTTTTATGCTCGGTAGTTTGTCTGATTCCGTTATTAAGTACCTGTTCTCATCTGAGAACGTGACATTACTTACTTGTCCAGGGTTTACAAGGCGGGTGTCCGGAGCACTCTACCTTTTTTCTCCTAGTGTCTTTTCATGAGTATCCGTGTGAACCTTTATTATGTTCATATTACGTTCTTAGTTAATGGAATTCGAGTTTGGATTATGATTATATTGACATATTGGTTATTTCGTGATATATTGTCATTGTTTTGAAGATGATAGAGCTACATCCTGATGTTTATCAAATTTCACGCGTGGGTTGTGAAAAAGCATTTCCCATTAGATAGTGTGTTTATCAGATATATAACACACACTTATATAGGCCAAAGGCAGGAGCTCTCGTTTATTTGGATATAATATCCTGTTCTATAAGTAAATCCATTTTTTCACAAGTACGTTAGTACGTAAATGTGATTATTATAGCAATATGTTTCCGAATTTAAATCCCTTTAGCAATTATTTTAGTACATCAATGTGCTGCTGCAACGACGAAAGTCACCTAGAACACCATTTGTGCCATTAAAATTCCTTACTTGAAAAATGTAGAATGTCCTGTTTCTCTATCGGAGGACAGGATGAACATCCGTTCAGAGAAGTGAAGTAGGCCAAAGGCATGCTCTGTGAGCTTCATTATATCAGTGTTAGTCATCACATATAACTCAAATAAGGTAATAACACTAACCAAGGCTATTGTCTAGACAAATTTCGTGCAACTGTTTATTTTTCTTTAAAATAAAGGTGTTCTATATTAGTACAAAGGACATCCATGTTTTCAATTAGAGATAAGTCTCGATCTGTCGTATCTCACACATAATGTACAATTTGCTTAATTTCATAACCAATAAACTTTGCCACAAATCATAGGAACTTTAATTTCTAAAATGAAATCTTACGTTACCGTTTTTATAGTTGATAGATAAAAGCTTTCCTTGCTTATAATTGATAAAAACAAACTTGGTACGTTGACCTTAATAGTATTATCGAATTTGGAAACGTTCGTGACATTTTATCGTGAGTAGGTTAGAGTTCCTTTACCTACACACTGACCTATTTTCAAACTTAAAGATGATACCACCGACCGACATTTCTTTAATCGTGTGAGGTCGTTTGCTGTGAAATATAAACAAAGATGATACAAAATATGAAATAAAGTTTCAGACAGAAAATAGTACTAATACTGTGATCAAATTGGAATCGTTGTACAAAAGTACATTTCTGCTCCTAAATCACAAGTAGAAATTAACCAATTAAGTATAAGTGATTGGTTTAGGCGGTCCTACAATGCTCCCGCAGAAAAACCACCGATTTCAGGCCAGTTCCTGGCGATTGATTTACGGAGGCCTTGAACCCGCGACCGGGGGTTGAAGGCTGGTGATGAAGACTTCTTAATCACTAAGCCACCAAGGCCCCTAGGTATGGGTAAGCATTGCACAAGAAACGTACAAGAGAATAGCAATTTTCAATATCATAAATGGAATAAGACACATAATAGCGACAAAATGAAGAAGGTGTTACAGAAAACACACTGGTGAATAAAACCTTTTAATTTGAATTAGAAATTGTAGAGCCAGTCTGTTTTGTCCTTCTGAGACTAACCATTGAGGCTAAGGGCATAAAATTTGAAGCCCATGATGCTACTGAAAAAAAAATTGAAGTGATCGAAAGAAAAGTCAAAGTCTTTATGGGAATGTGCACTAGCTCCATAATAGCTCACATATCTGATGCATAAAAATAATGACAAATGAATGTGAGTTTTCTGAAGCGTGCCACTATTCCAATGAATTGAATCGTAGCATGCAAATTACGACAACCCTCGGGACTAATTAAATCCACCAGCAGTGACTATCACCTGCAACCCATACTAAACCATCTGTCGAAGGATGTGACTGAGTGAAATAAAAATATGGCGACCTAAATCGCTATCGAAATATTGATTGATGAGTAATAACCTCTAACAAGTAACAGATATTCCATTGACATAAGTCATATCAGTAGGATATATATTTACCTGTCCAAACTATCAACAAACACATATAATTGCTTATTACATTTAAACGATCGTTTGGTTTACCGTAAGACTTTCCTTATTGGGAGGGGGGCATTTTCGCGTATTTTTAAGTGAGCCCTCGAGGGATATCCTATCAAATGAAATCAACTATTGGTTAACCTTATTAATCACTGTTTCACTCGAAGGTGAGAACGATACATAATATTGTCCAACCACTATTCTGTCTTCCTGCGAAAATACAGGAGGAAAATTAAGTAACCTAGCTAAAATACTTTCTTTTGTTTTCTTTTTATGTTATTATATAGATTTTATCTATATCTTTAAAAAAAGAAAAGTTCCTGTTTGTAAAAAAAAAAAGATATCATACATGCACGATTATATCAGAAAAAATATATTCTTTATTTCTTAACAATTTTGTAAGTATACTGTACCTAATGTCAACAAACACCATCGTAGATTTAAGAAAAACAAGAAAAGATTGATAGTTTGGTTCCATCATTATAATGTACATTTTTCATATATTTTTATCTAAATTATGTTATTCAATGCAACGAGAGCAAGATTCATCCTTGCTTTGCGTAATAATACAAAGTCCTATGATGTCCTTCGGAAGCAGTATAGTAACCCCTCCCGATGGCGTCCCAAGCTACAGCACCGGCGTGGGAAACATAATGGAACGGTACACCTACAGGGTTCTCACGAAATGTGTCAAAGATGGTAAGTCCATTAGTTACTTGCCAGTGGAATATCTGATGGTGAGTCTGCAACAAGATTTCATGACCGTCGGGGGAGATGTCCCCGCCCGTAGGATCATCACTTCCTGTAGACAGCGGAAGGGTAATGAGGTTACTAAGAATAATTGGTACTTGTGAGGAGTTCCAAACAGAACTGGCAATGGTTCCGACTTTGCCTTGACCGTCAGATACCTGTCAACAGATGATTTATGCTTAATTTTTCTTCAAATCCAAATGTAAGATGGAGCCATCTAGTGTAGTGAATGTGTCACAGTTAATTTTTCAAAAACCTAAAACACATAGAATACTACTGTTTCATTTATGAAGCTAAATACAACTGCATTTACCAAAACATAACTGACATTTGTATTTAAGAGCATGACTTAACAAACGAGCTACAGTTTCTTCAGAAACTGAATGTTTATTTCAATGGTACAGTTATCATGTCCTATGTTTTTCTGCATAGGATTTACATGTATTTTTTTACGTTTATGACAGTCTACTTGTCATAGACTATCTACGAAATTGAATGTATTTTCAAATTAAATACCTTAGATATGACGTAAATGTTACTTTTGGGATCCACCATAAGGGTTTCTGCATCTACTTGGTGTGGATACCATCTGTATATATAAATAGATATATATGAATACAAAAAGACAATAACCACTCATTCACTTCACTCCTCAAATCAAAAGCGAGACAAAATCACACTTTCATCACTAGTATTTATATAGAAAGCTCTTCATCACTTTGTATTGTTCACACGCTTGACCATCTGAAAGCTGAAAAGTCTTAGCAAAGCACAAAGTTATGAATCAGTTTTATTTACCATTGTACATCTACTGATATTTCAATTAATCGGCATCAAAAGGTACTAATATAATTATTATATGTCATTTTCGTATCCATTAAAATAATAAGAATTCATGTATAATTTATAAAATAGGCCAACAGGGCTTGTATCCTATTCTCCCCAAGGAGTTCAGGTGCGGCGTTTAAAAACGCAAAACAATTTCTTCACTCAATGATACTTCAGACCAAACTTGAACAAAATGAAATCATTCTGCTCTTTTTCCCTTATTCGATCCGCCCTACGCACACTTCGTTTATACAAAATTGTATTCCCAAGGATGTGTCATAACTAAATTGGACATAATTCAATCATTTCAACAGGAATAGGCTTATAAATAATTTGCTCTTTTTCAACTATTGAGCTAGCTTCTACGCCTGATTGGGTCGAGACCTACCGTTTATACCAAATTATTTTTTTTCCGTCCAATGATGCCACTGACTAAATTTGGTCAAAATCCAAGCATTCCTACAAGAGGAGTAGATTGATTTATTTACCCATTGAGCACTCATCAGACATCTTGGGTTTTTTGCAGAAGGAGAAAAAAATGAATGAATTTGCCGTCCTTCCCATGGAAGCCAAGGCCTGTCGTTTATACAAAGATTATTTCCTTTAATTCAAGAAATATATTATATTTGATAGAAAAACACTATCATAGTCGTTCATGACTAGAAGTTACATTGTTTTTGTAGCAACAGACGCCGCGCCAAGACATTAAGCTCACCGGTCTTTCAGACCAGGTGAGGAAAACAAACAAAACAAATGGTAACCTACAAAAAAAAAAAAAAAAAAAATAACAGAATGTCATGTATCAAAACTGAATTTGTAAAACTTGAACGAATTTCTTGCATAGAGTAAACATACACGAAAGGAAGCTTTGCCTCGATATCAACAGTGATATCACCGTTAGTATCCGTGATGGTTGGTTCCCGAATTTTATAAATCATGTTGTGAGCTCCGTCTCCATCGTGATTACCTATATCTCCTGAAAAGTAGAATCAATGTCGTTATAGTTTGATTGTGATTTCATGAACAATTCGTGTTTACCTGAATTATCATGGTTCATGATAATTTTACTTGTATTGTTATAATAATATATTTCAGATGAGGACAATGTGGCATGAAACGACATTTTATTCCACAGATATATGGCTGTATCTCTTTCTTCCATATACACGTGACGTCAATGAGAACCTTTAGCCAATCAAAGCTCCGCAAGGTGTTATAACACGCTTAAGCATAACAAATTCATTGGATGGGTATAATTATAACTTATAACAGTGTAATGAATGGTGATTAGTATACCGTGTGTTATGCAGTTTTTCTGTATCTATAGATCCGTTAGAGTCTTTCCTTAATTAAACTGTGTTCAGTACTGGGTTGGTCGAAATAAGTTATTAATTCTGGTAATCAAAAGTTAACAATTATAAACAAAATATATACATAACATCCAAGAAACGTAGAATAATGACATGAAATATGAACAACAGACGTTTTAGTGCAAATTCGTTGAAACTTCTACATATTAAAACATTTGGAAAATAAACAACTAAAATAACTGTATTTAATCTTCATTGTGTTTATTTGTTTTATAAAATAGATATTTCCTTTTTTTCTATCATAATCATAAAAATCAAGCAAGATCATTTGTGGTTTTTTTTGTGTGTGTTGTTAGTAAAAGGCATCAATTTATATTAACTTTATATTACCGATGTAGATGCATGGCCCTCCATTTTCACTACAAGGACCACAAGCAATGTCTTCCCAGTCATAGTTATGGGCTCCATGTACGTGAATAGTTTTCTGTGAAAATAAGTATAAAGGATGCCAAATCTAGTGTCGGTTAAATGCATGTAGACAATTCATAATTAATAACATATTTTCAAAGATATAATAACATGTCTTCAAAAAAAATATTAATGGTGATGTCGTGAAAATACGTCATTTACGCTTAAGGTTTTGGTAGAAACACAACTTGACTTAATGGTAAGAAAAAACTTCCACGGTAATTAAGATATGTTGAAAGTAATATTGTATATTATTCACTATATTCTCGTATCATTCATGTTCAGGCGACATCATGGTGTCAGTAGGTAAATTCAAGATAACGTATCACAAAAATATAGGTTGAATTAGATATAAGTAATGAAGATGTATAAGACATACAAATACCAGCAAAAGCGATTAAGTATTAACACTCATGACTGTTTGGTGATAATAGAACATGCTATCATGTGATCAAAAACATAACCTTAACTTAAATTCAATAATACTAGGGCAAAAAGAAAAAAAAGGAAAATATTACACTGAGACGCCTAAAAAGTACAAGGAGAATTAGACCAGGTGTTCCGGAAGATCAAGCGTCTTCTCTTTCATCGACGGCACTCGTATTCTAAGTCTTGGTTATTTCTAGTAAGTAATTTCTCTTCTCAAATTATACCAAAGTATGCAACAGCTGGACCCACAGGCAAACTTACGGGCATTAATTACCTTCAGCTGGAATGTAATACAACATTTCTCAATGGGATCTCTATGACGACCGTAAAACTTCCTCATACTTATCATCAACCTACGCTTCTTTGAGCCCGGTGTTTTAAGTTCCTCTGTCAGTTCACAACGTCTTGCAAGGAAATCATGCTATTGGGATTGTTACCTTAAATATTAAAGTCACTGTGACGTATATACCATAGATTACCTTCAGCTCCCCAGTAAGGGAATTGAGGGCGTACAATGAAGGACCATCACCCTTGTCATTATGAGCGTATAGGATATTTGGGTTAACCCTACTGGCGCATAAACCTGAAGTTTCACCTAAACCTTTGATGTGGCCCAAAGGAGCTCCGGGAAGGAAGTGCGGCAAAGCTACATGAAAAAATTGAAATAGCTTGTGAGGTGGAATCACGTAGAAAAAGAAGATGAAGAATGAACATCATCAATAAAACAGTTATGTCTTAGTTAAGTATATTGCAAAGTGGAAATGACAGAAAATCAACGCTTATAGACAACGACAATACTAGTATTGGCATTGTTCTGTGGAGAGAAAAGCCTAATCCAATACGTTGTACACATTCCAGATTTCATCCCTGTATATAAAAAGAAAAAAAAAAAAAAAAAACAACATGTCAACATAATCAAAATCCAAATCTAATAAAACTAGGTAAAACATGAACAAAATAAAGATTTACACGGAGATCCTTGAAAAAGTACAAGGAGAATAAGACCAGGTGTTCCGGGAGAGTAAGCCATTTTTCGCAAAATGTAAGTACATATATATGCAAGTAATGCAATGCATCAGTTAAACAATTATACATACATCACTTATACAGCAATGTTCTATAATTATGGATTTTACTTTAAATATATAGCTAAAAACGATATTTCCTAACATGATTAATATATTTGCTGTTAGATAGTATTGGCGTGTGACATAGAAACGACTATTTCGAAAAAAAAAATTACCTTGTACTTGAAACGACAGAGAAGATCTAACTATCAGTGCGAGAAGTCTGGACAGTAGTATGACCGACATTGTAAGGTAGATAGAACCGATTATGTCTCTGACTTTTATCTTCGCCTGTTGAAGGTCCGATAACAAAATCTGAAATTATGTTGTTTACATATACATGCAAGCATTTGAATAGTGTTAAGTAGTAAAGAGAACAGAAGAGATTTCGTTTGCATATTTTTTCGAAGATTTCACGTTTAAAGAATTAGATTGATTTAAAATTATTCTTTATGGATCAAATTGCAGTCGTTGTTGATACAAATTATCTATGCTCATCTGAAATCGTAACATGCAGCCATGATAACCTTTTTAAAAATTTATTCAGCTATTTATTCAGTCCGAGCTTTTTTATTACATTGTCGGTTTACTGTAAAATCATGTCTTTTCGTAGGGTACAATTTTCGTGGGTTATACCGTATTTTTTTACCGTATTAATGGTTACAGAACGCTTAATTCGTGCATAAATTCAACCAAATGAATCTTCATTCACTGGCTCTAGCGTTTCGTGGACACAAACATTCATGGATTGTGAGTATTTACAAAATCAATGAAAATAAATTCCTCGCGAAAATTTACGATTTTACAGTAGTAGCAGTAAATTAGCTGCAATAGGTATGATGAGGTTTAATGCATATGAAAATTTATTTCATACTATTTCAGCTATTTTCTCAAAAGTTTGATCTTCGACAATAAACCTTATAGTTGTGTATTTCTTGACACAAATTAATCGATTAAAATTGATATTCCTGTTAGTTTGTAGGATAGATGTTTTGTTTTGATATAAATAATACTTATACCAACTTATTGTACGAAGATAAATGAAAATTGAACCATTACCCAGCAAGGTTTATCGTATATAGCCATTTAAGTGTTACACCTATGACCTTTGTAGGATTTCTTCCTGCCATCACGTTTAGACTGAAATCTTTAACGGGACTTAGCCTAATCTCAAATACACGGACATCCATTTATGTTATCGAGAAAAATATTGTTATTGAGAATATTGCTTCAAAATGTAAAATTCAGAAAATAGACAATAAAACACTTGTATGTATAAAGGGAAATTGAAATCACGGCTCTCAAATGTGTTAGTTTTTTGTCAGCTTAATCAGTAAAGAAGCCTGTGGAGTAGGCATATAGCTTATATTAATCTCGCGTGTTGGCCCCGACAGAAACGCGCGATTGGTCCTATCGTGGGATGAAACCGGAGTATTTTATGATGTATCCGGCGAAATCACATATGTTTGGGCAGGTGATTCCGAACTATTTCTCTGTCCGTATGGGGAAAGAAATCCCGGGCAACTAGGTACATTAAAAGAGCGTGCGCGTTACTACTGCACTATCCTACACTCAATGTCCCCTGATTGTCATTTTGCATTGAATGGGGTACCTTAGTTCTTGTCGGTACTTTATCAATGCAACATGCCTGTGTGGGATGTCTAGCTATTATTTCTATATTATGACATTTCAGTAGGATGACACTATCAAAAATTCCGTAAGTGACTCCATCATCATTCGACACCGTTTTCATGGATTGTACACTCTAAATCAACATATTATTCCATAAATGTTGTCCTCATTCTTTTATTTAGATTTGTCACGCATTGATATGAAATCGGCAGTTCTGTATCTATTCTTCATCGCAAGATAGTAGTGCAGTCCGATGACCATAAAAAGCCTTCAAGCATTTTTCAAGAAATATGAAATCGTCGTTATTGTAATTATTGATCCAATCGATCTATTCTACTTCGCAAAACGATGGACACCATAACTAGATCTCCACAAACTACACATTCACCTCTTTTGAAAGCATGTCTCTTTCCTTGTCTTATTTCAGCACGTCTACCAATGTATAAGCTTTACAAACTCAAAGCAGTAGAATATTTTAGCAATGTTTGATTAAAGCTTTAAGACATGAATTTATTGTCCTATCTATAGTTTCTCTGTTAGGGAATGTTTACATATTATAAAGTCAATCATTGAAAGTTGTTTGAAATAATTTTACAGATATTGAATAAGGATGGTGTAATAACACACTTAAAAATATAATCAATTAGATACATGCAATAGGTTTCAAACCTAAAAGGCATACACTTACTCTCAAACTGTCTCAAAAAATCAATTTCAATTCCGATATATTTTCAGAAATTACGAGTTGTCTCCCTTCATCTGAATATCGCTTAAATCTTATAAAGTATTCTAGTGTATTTCTCCTCTCGTAACAAAGATTAGGAAAAGCTGAAAAGGGAATATTCATTATATATTTCTTCCCATTTACTCCTAAATAACAGACATTTTTTATTCATATTGTTTAGGTGATCAAATTTGTTTTACAAAGCTATTGTAAAAATCTTTCATGGATATGTATCCTTTGAGAACGATATGGAAACATCCAACTATGTCGTCGTTTCGATAAGAATTTTTCATTTTACATTTTACACCAATTCCAACACCTTGAAACGTTTGATTGTAAATGTTGAAACATAGCTACGTTTCGTTTGCACAGCTACGATAATATGTCCAAGTGCTTCGGAAGGGTGAGTACCTTCTGTATTATCAACTGAACCCACTAGTTTTTGGTCAGTTCAAGTATATAATGTCACGTTCCCAAATGAGAACAAGTTAAAACACAACGGAACCACCAGAAAAAACTGAGAATAATCAAACACGTCAAACATCGTATCATATCTCATATAATAACATACTTCAGCAGGTGCCTCAGAAATATTTATACAGTACAGTGGCAATATCACGGAAGGACAGAAGACCTACTGGGAAGACCTAATATGAGACCAGTAAGCGAGGAGATAAATAGCCGTAGATGGAAAATGATTGGGTGTCGTATGAAGCAGGGCAAGAACCATGACTGCAATGTTGCATTATGATGGGCCACAGAAAGAAAACGGTAGAGAACGAGAGACGAAAAAGGCTTGGTATCCTGGAACTAAGCATGAAAAATGGCAGCAGACAGGGGAAATGGGGAAGTTCTGTCAAGGCCTAATGTGCCACGAGGCACGAAATGGTTAGGTAACAGGTAATTATTGCTTCTGTGATAATATGATATTTTAGTAAACTGGTTTTGCGCTCAAAGTTTTTACCATTTTACCTATTTCATAATGTTGACTCTAAACCTTTTTAAATGACTTTTGGCAAATGCATATGAAACTATACAGATTTACAAAAAAAAAAAAAAAATCTTAAAATTGTGGCACATTCTATTTATTAAAAACTTCATGTAATCATTTCGGATAACACCAGCTTCAGATTATATATCCAAATAATGGAGCTTGTTTCAGTCTTATTTAATGAGATTTGTAAAACTAGTCTTCCTTCCTTCCTTCCGTCCTTTTTTAAAAACAAAAATGTTTGATGATTATTTACAGCAAGTCCGTCATTTCAGTCGGACGACAGTAAATAAAAAACGCTCAAAGATACCTTGGTCCAGGATCCTCAGTGTCCCCTTCCACTATAATCTACACGCTGGAGCTTTAGCCTGGGATTCGGATGGAAGAGGTTATTTCACCGTTACTGAGGGCCATAATGAGACTGTATTATCATGATAGGCAATAGTTTTGCAGCGTTTTTTATTTACTGTCGTCCGACTGAAATGCCAGTGGAACACCTGATGATGGGCCTGTAGTAAAATCCCCCCACCTGTCGGATCATCATCTCCTGTCGACAGTGGTAGTATGACCAGATTGTTTAAATCCACTGTTGGTGTTGGGGTATTCCAAGCAGAGTTGTCGATCATACCGGCTTTACCTTGACCATGTGGGCCCTGTCAGTCATTACATGAAACTGTATTTTTATATTATGTTTCCTGTAAGAAGTGACTGCAAAAATATCTCACCATTTTAATTCCACTCTTTCTTCACTTAGTTTCAACTTTATTATTGTAAAATATCAAAGATTAAGAATACGGTTTAATTTATTGCTTGGATCTTCTGTATCTGACTTTAAATTTATATTTTAAAATGTTATTCATTTTGAGTGTCTTTTGTACACTGTATTTCTCATATTAATCCATGGATGTCACCTTTTTTGTTTTATATCTTCAGCAGTGAATCTAGTAATCTATTTATTGTGATATATGTATATCTAGCCAGCAAGGTTTTTTTTTTTTTTTTTGTTTTTGTTTATTTATACACTTTAGACTACTTTTTGCGAATAATTTTGCATAGGTTTGATATATGTGTGTATTCTTTTTTTCACGAAAAGCTGTTTCTTTTGTGTGGTTTGTGTTGGTCTATAAGTAATATATTGTTTTTGGTGTTTTATTTTTTTTTAAGAGTCAATCCAAATGTCTATAACTTTGGGGTAAGTAAATCTCCCCATATCGTACTTAATATTTCTTTCGATCAATTCTTATTTTTCTTAGTCGGCTCCTGTCATTACAAGGACTTATCTACTCTATGTGGTAGTATAATTTATGATTTGTCTACAGTGTTTCCAATTTTAAACTTTTATTTTAAAAAAAGCTCTAATCACTTGTGTGCCCTTTGTAGAATGTTCTGTAACAAAACAACGTGGTACAATTCTATGTGTAAAACATGCTGTGTCTCTGTACAATATGTGCGATATGTTTTGTTTATTACACGTGTTGTACCAATTGCTCTGCTGGACTTATACAATACATAATACAAGATAGTGTTTTACCTCCGAAATTACGTAAAGGTTACTCTGAGGATCCACCATTAGTGTTTCAGCATTCTCCTGGTGAGGGTCCCATCTGCATGAGAAATAAATATTGGATGATGACGATGATGATGATGATGATGGTGATGGTGATGGTGATGATGATGATGATGATGATGGCGTAGGAGATGGACCAGCATCCAGTGGTATGGTTTTTCTGTATATACATAAGATTACTCAAAGCTTTGTTATATATACCGTGTGCCTAGTTGTATTATGATAAGGCACAGATGTGTTATTGGAGAACAAATCTTTCAAGTAAGTGAAGTTTATCTAAATGACCGTGACAGCTATTTCTCAGAATATTTTGAACTGATACATTTCTGCAATTACTATGACCCTTACGTTGCTTACAGCCAGTGAATGAAAATAAATTTTCATGAAGATGACTTTCGCTCTGATATATGATGCAGAATGACGTCATTTTATATGAAAAATTTAGACAACAGCACAAAAAAACAAACAAACAACAACAACCTTCAAAGTCTTCATCTAAAAGAAAAAAAAAAACATTTATAATTTTTTGAAATCCACGAACGGGGTTTGCCATTGAAATTATGTTTTAGGATTGAACCACGAAAAAGACAACTAAAATAAATTAGTTTAGATATATAAGCCACTCTGCTCTCTGTCCGGAGTTTAATCCCGCCATTGGACGTGAAGAGATACGGGGTCTCCTTCCTGACAAAGTGGTTACACCGTTTTCTCACTGCCGTCTCTACTTATTAAGGGATAGTGTTTTTCAAAATGGCGGACCTAGACGGCCACAAAAGATGGATGGTCGCTTTCAGCTGCACAGTCACTGGTTTGTGAATAGAACCTGATCGGGACAAGCACATAGCAAAACGCAGAAATTCTCGAAAAATGTATTACAACATTTGTATTGTCATAAATGATTGTGAGCACTTCGCTAGTTTAGAGAACTGCTGTAATATTTTGTTCATATCGAAATATTTAAGCAGTCTAAGGTTTATTTTCATTGTCAGCGAGACATTGCGTTTAAGCGATATATATTATTTATGCTCATCGCCCTATAATACTCACCAAAACGTAGGAAAATTATCAGAAATGTTTGATTGTTTCTAGTTGTTTTACGTCCTATCAACAGCCACACTTTAAATCCCCGGCATCACTGACTAATACTAACTTATGAAACAGGTGTATGGGGAGATCCTTGAGTGTAAGATTTACGATATACATATCTAAATTTGTCTTAGAATTGCTATTGTGTAAAGCTTTCATGGTTTTAATATAGATTTATGCATCAAAAGTCCAAATAATGATATTTTAATTATTTCTGAAGCAATCAGTGTTAACCGTATCTCCTTCTTGAAATCTCCAATGCTTATATACATGTTGTACTATTCCAACGACTTGCTTCAGCCTGTCGTGTTTAGCTGTTCTAGTCACCCTTTGTTCAGATATAATGACAATTTTTCAGATGTTTTCAAAAAAATAGTTAGTATGTTATATGTTATATGTCTTCGTGCAGGGGCGTAGCTTCGCGTAGCTTCTATAGAAAGAAAAAGCCCGGGCTTACACATAAAAAAAATCCGTGCACAGAGTATGTCGGACAAAATTACAAATAAATTAGGTAGAAAATAAATATCAGGGGTTGAAGTTGGTTGTTAAATAAATGAAAAAATCTGTCTCAGAAAACGATTCAAAACATCTTTGAAATTATGAAATTCAGATCCCTCGGCTGGGCTTACACATTTCTGCTGGGCTAGCTACGCCCCTGTTTGTGCAGCTTGAATTATATGAAATAACTATTTTGTTGGCACTTGTCTGGCAGATTGTTATTTTTTCAATGATGACAACAGCTCTGTTTCGTTTCCTCTGTCAGCTTTGTTAAATCAGCAAATGATATCAAGTTAAGTAATTCAGTGTCAAAAAGGAAAAATCATACTACAGGCATAATCTAAAATACATACAATGTAAGGGAGATAACTCCAACAGAAATGCATGTAAAACTTCACCGCAAAATACGTCACAGCATTATTGATTGTATTTATAGATTCCATTACGAGGACTGATTAGTAAGTTGTGAGTCTTGTGTTGAAGAAGTTAACCAAGGATGTCCCTTTTCAGCTCTGCTCTTCCCTGACTACTTCAGGCTGTGTACCCGAAGACTGGTGTCATTTGATCAGTTTATGTCAAAGAGGTAGCACTCTAAAGTAAACAAGGCTAGTGGCTTTTGAAAAAATGGACAAATGTTGAAAGACCAGTGATTCATAAAAAAGATCTAATACCTCAGGATATCCATATTAATTTGGTAGCAACACTAGGGAATGATGTCCTTTCATATTCTACATTGAACAGGTGGGTGGCGGAATGTAAGCATGGCAGGCAGAGCCTTGGGGATGATGCCCGTTGTGAAAGGCCTGTCACTGTTGCTACCCCAGAAATGGTCAATAAAATCCATAATATTATCACGGCTGACAGGCGAAATACAGAGACATGTATAGCCAGAACAATTGGAATTTTACAATGCAAAGTGATTGAATCGTCAACAAATTTGTGAATAAATGAATTCACGGATTAAAAGGACCTTGGAAACAAACTTAATGAATACATCAAGAAAAAAAAATTGTTTCCGCTATGCAGTGTAATCGGTATCGAGAGAGACTCAGAGATAAATGGGGGTCTATTTAACCAGATTCACCGTTTTTCTATTGTTTACTGGAAACAGGGCAAAGACCTCAAAATAATATTCCATACAAAGACCCAGGAGATAAGAACCAATATTGGGTTAAATTGGGATTTAATCATAATTGTGTGTAAGATCCTCTTTGTGTACGGATAAGTCTACAAAGCAACAACAAAAATAAAGAAATTTTGAGAAACTCAATTCAAATTCAAAATTGATGTAACGAGGGGACATCATGAGTAAAACAATATGAGGAGACCCTTGGAAAAACAACACGAGAATTGGACCAGGAGTTTCAGAAGAGTAAGCGTACAGAGGTTTATAGACGACATCTAGAACTTTTCCCATAGAAAATGTAATAATTTGGAATATGCCGAGTAGCTCACTGAAAATATGAAATGTAAACAAAAATGAAAAAAACAGAAAAGAAGATTGATTTCTGGGTCTATTTTGTTTCTATTCAACATTCGATATTGAATGGTAATAATAAGGTAACCGGATATCACCACGAAGAATTATAGCTTAACGTAGGTAGCCGGATATCACCACGAAGAATTATAGCATAACGTAGGTAGCCGGATATCACCACAAAGAATTATAGCATAACGTAGGTAGCCGGATATCACCACAAAGAATTATAGCTTATAAGTAGGTAACCGGATGTCACCATAAAGAATCATACCACACAAGTAGGTAACCGGATATCACCACAAAGAATTATAGCTTTAAGTAGGTAACCGGATATCACCACAAAGAATTATAGCTTTAAGTAGGTAACCTGATATCACCATAAAGAATCATAGCTTAACGTAGGTAACAGGATATTACAACGAAGAATCATAGCTTTAAGTAGGTAACCGGATATCACCACAAAGAATTATAGCATATAAGTAGGTAACCGGATATCACCACAAAGAATCTTAGCATATAAGTAAGTAACCAGATATCACCATAAAGAGTCATAGCTTAACGTAGGTAACCGGATATCACCACAAAGAATTATAGCATATAAGTAGGTAACCGGATATCACCACAAAGAATCTTAGCATATAAGTAAGTAACCAGATATCACCATAAAGAGTCATTGCTTAACGTATAGCATATAGATATATTTCATTTCTTTTAAAGAGAAACTAATTGACAAACAATTCTATACACATTTATAATTAAGAAGAATATGCAAAAATATCTTTGTTATAAAAAAGCTAATATAAAGGAAAAATAGTCACATTTAAAAAAAATAGTCTTCGTGTCAACAGCAGTCGAACCACGTACATTCGATTTAATAGTCTTTGCTGAGTTACAGGGATCTCTTTACTAATTTTTTGTTCATATTTAGCCCTTATTTAATTCATTTTGAGTTATCGATTCCTCGGGATTTTTCACGAATTAGGGTTTCGTGCGAAAAATCAATAGCTGGCTGATCTGTAGGTAGATGAGGATTATTATAAAGTTTAATCGGTTATAATGATGTCATTGAGATGCGGACAAAACGGGAACATACCAACAACCTGAGCAACACCAAGCACGAAAAGAGTTTATTTTGACGACAAAACTCGTTTTATTAATATGACGTCATGTTTGTCAATGCACGTGAGAAGATAAAAAATCGATAACTAACGATACACGTAACAAAAACAATACCTTAAATATAGCAACAAATTTTAATATGAAAGGATTGTTTTAATACAAAAAATAACATATAAGTTGATTCAAGATCCGCTACATCGAGACAGTGAATCGTTCATTTTGCATTCATTGTCTTGTGTAATAATATAGATTCTCATGGTGTCCTTCAGAGACTGTGTAATAACCGTCCCCATTCATGTCCCAGGCAACTGCTTCAGCATGTTTATTGTAATGGAATGGAACACCAACAGGAATCTGAAGCAAAGTCTCTTTGATGCTGATATCGTCAGCTTTTTGCCAATAGAAAACCTGATGATGGGTCTGAATTAAAATATCCCGACCGTTTGGGGAAATGTCGCCTCCTGTAGGGTCAGTACTTCCGGTTGAAAGCGGAAGTGTGATGAGGTCAGTTAGATATACTGTTGTCGCGGGAGTATCCCAAGCTGAACTGTTGATGACCCCTACTCGACCTTGACCGTCATCGACCTGTTGATAAAAACAGTATGACTTTCATAATAAATATCATTTATTAAAAGAGTATGGAAAATACACACTTTCAGTGCAAATCTAGAATTCGATACCGCAAATCAAACATTGAATATTTTGTGTAAAGCTATGCAGAGGCCGCCGAAATGCTTCGAATTCAACAGGGTCTTCGAGTTATAGGAGTTCTGGTAAAAGTTACATGAGAAAACTATTCGAGAACTGAGATATAACACTATTATTGTATTTCAGATCATAAACGTGCCATGATTGGTGTATATATGCAGCACAAAGGCTTATCTAGTATATATATATACTAGACATTAGTATGTTTCTTAACATAGGTATGGTAAATGGTAGTATTGTGATTATCAGCCATTTTGTCAATAGACATGTTTGATATATTTCGGGAGTATGACATACCTTAGAGATCAGATATATATTACGTTGTGGGTCCACCATGAGGGTCTCACAGTCCTGTTGTTGTGGTACCCAACTGTAATCACAAACAATTTTGTTTCAATATAGTCTTATATTTTCGTGGAACTCAAATTTCGAGGATCTAAAAAATTAAAAAAACATTTTCGTGGCCATTTGATTTCGTGGATAAATCTTCTCCGAACAATCAGCTAATACTAAAACACATGTCTGTTTACCATTTCATGGACAAAACAAATCTGTGAAATTAGTGAACCTCGAATCTAACGAGAATAAATTCCCACGAAAATTAATGTTTTCACAGTATCAAATAAGACCCAAAGCTAGTGTCCCTATAGAAATATATAACAATTAAATGTCACCCGATAATTTCATTCTAATGTACCATGTCACTTGTGTCATTTTGATTCAGAAAGGTTTGATATGATACACATACCTTTGTTCTCGCGTACTAGAAAGATTTAAGAAAAAGATGTTCACGTAATTTGAAGGAACAGAATAGATAAAATTCCAGGAGTGTCTTTTCTTCGCTACAAATGATAAAATCCACAAACCGAAAACTGATTTTGGCCTCAACATCGACTGTCACCTCGTCATCAGAACTCTTGAGAGATGGCTCCCGAATTTTGTAAATGATGTTATGCGCTCCATCTCCGGAATGATCCCCAATTTCTCCTGGAAACGATATTATGGTAATTGTGGTTACCTGCACTGAAGAGGTGTAATGTTAACACTGCAAAATTATCAGTAAACCCATGTCACACTTGAAAAATGTCGATAAATCTGGTGAAGGCTATCTTAAGCCTTGTGTGATGTTAACAGAAATATCGAAATATCTTAAACATCTAGACTATTTTCAGCCACTTGTACTAAAGTTTGATATTGTAGATAAGGAACAAGTATTCCGGCAGACAGAAACTATAACCATTTAATATAAAAATACAATTTCTTGGATAATAAGCGTGAAATAAATCATCCTAATAGTTCTTATAACACAACCAGTAGAAGATTCGAGTGTGACGTTTCGATGACTACACGGTCACCTTCATCTTATAACACAACCAGTAGAAGATTAGAGTGTGACGTTTCGATGACTACACGGTCACCTTCATCTTATAACACAACCAGTAGAAGATTAGAGTGTGACGTTTTGATGACTGCACGGTCACCTTCATCTTATAACACAACCAGTAGAAGATTAGAGTGTAACGTTTCGATGACTACACGGTCACCTTCATCTTATAACACAACCAGTAGAAGATTAGAGTATGACATTTCGATGACTACACGGTCACCTTCATCTTAACACAACCAGTAGAAGATTAGAGTGTGACATTTCGATGACTACACTGTCACCTTCATCTTAACACAACCAGTAGAAGATTAGAGTGTGACGTTCCGATGACTACACGGTCACCTTCATCTTATAACACAACCAGTAGAAGATAAGAGTGTGACATTTCGATGACTACACTGTCACCTTCATCTTAACACAACCAGTAGAAGATTAGAGTGTGACGTTCCGATGACTGCACGGTCACCTTCATCTTATAACACAACCAGTAGAAGATTAGAGTGTAACGTTTCGATGACTACACGGTCACCTTCATCTTATAACACAACCAGTAGAAGATTAGAGTATGACATTTCGATGACAACACGGTCACCTTCATCTTATAACACAACCAGTAGAAGATTAGAGTGTGACGTTCCGATGACTACACGGTCACCTTCATCAGACAAAAGAACAGTCTGGAGCGTCTTGACCTACACTACGTATTGTAAGAGATGGTTAGGTCTGAAACATGTCTTTTGCTTTTATTTCACATATACATGTTTAAAACAAAAAAAAGAAAATATGAATTCTTATTTCGCTCATAATCAAACTAATCAGGATCTCACTCCAAATGTTTCCGGAACTATACTCAATGGAGCATAAAAAAACTCTCTTTGATTATAAATTCATGCGAAAAAATAAAATGTTATCGGTATTCTAATTATTATCATGTGATATATATATATATATATAGAGAGAGAGAGAGAGAGAGAGAGAGAGAGAGAGAGAGAGACAGCGAGAGAGAGAGAGAGAGAATTAATCACTTAACATGACAAACAAATATATCACTAACGTTTTCAGGCCTCGTGGCCATCTTTGTTTGTCATGTTATGTGATTAATTTTCTTTGTATATACGATACACAAAGTTTTTATCTTTTTAAATTATATATATATACAGTTTCATTTTTCTATTAATATATGAATCACAAAGAAAGTTAAACTATGTACGTAGAATACCGATGGGATTTCTGTTCTTCCATTACTAAATTATAAGTTTTTTTTTAAACATTTCATAAAAATAATAAAGATTTTGAACATACCTATATATATACAATGCCCTCCGTTACTATCACATGGTCCACACGCGATGTCCTCCCAATCATAATTGTGGGCGTCATGCACGTGAATAGTCGTCTATAGAAAGAAGAAAAATAGTTAAAATAAATGGCAGGTCGCTCTGCCCAGGAATTGTTCGGTCAGTTTTCAAAATAACAAATAAGTATTCCAGTACTTTGTATGTCTGAGAGTACCAATAAAATCTGTAAATCAGTAAGCGGTCAGACTAACGTACCTGGGATATGAATCTGGTATACGTACGTAAGGGAGGCGACTATAAATGCATTAGGTGGGTAATTTCTGAGGCTGGAGAAAACGATTCAAGAGGACAGGATGTTTTTTTATCATGCTAATAAGTAATGTAGACAGTTTGTTTCGAAACTTTGAAACCGAGTATTCGATCTAAGTGAGTTCGATTTTTTTTTGTTTTTGTTTTTGTTTTGTTTTTGTAAAGCTTCGAAATGCTTCGAATTAAGCATGGTCTTTACTTAATACGAACTCGAGATAAACCTAAAACAGTATTCATACACTTTACGTCGTGGGCAGTCAGTCATAACAGAATTTGGTGACTTTCAGACAGTGGCATTGCCATACAATGGTCAATATAGACATATTGGTGTCTATAATACGCAACACTATGCCGTCATTATACATCCTTACATATGTCGATATTCGATATACGGAGGCAAATGCAGTATTAAATTTCTATCTCAAGGTTTAAATATTTAACAAAGTTATATACTGGTAAAGTCATGATGAATGAATTAAAAAGCAGATACCTTTAATTCTCCAGTTAGGGAACTGATAGCATAGAGTTTTGGCCCGTCTCCCTTGTCATTGTGACCGTAAAGAATATTTGGATTAACTCTGCTAGCGCATATACCGGAAGTCTCATCGAGGTCGTTGACATGTCCCAACGGAGCTCCAGAAAGGAAGCGCGGAGAGGCTAAAAATATTTATTTCGCATGTGAGTCACATCATTTTACCAACATATACAACTAATCTTGGTAAAGTTCGGGGATCTATACATCGCTTTAAGAATTTGTTAAAAACAAAAAACTCAAACATTAATATCCTTTATTTGGAAACTAGATTTGTGACATACTCTCTGCGCAATATGTAATTTTGTTTTCAAAATTTTGGTAAAACTTTGAAAGTAACAATGGAAAACAAGATTTACTGTAAGAAAACTATAAATCTTGAAGCAAATCTGTTATGTTTTCTTAAAATATTTAAATATGATTATCGATAAGTTAGGGGTGTTATGATTAATGATAAAACTTCAGGAAATCGATTAATTTTTTTAATTGTCAATCGATTTCTTGATTACGGAAACCAAATCAAAAGCTGTGAATTATACTTAAAAGTCTTATCTTTCGATCATGTGATCACGGTTATTAACGAAAACTATAAATAGATTTTAACTGATAATGATGTTTCATAGCTTTCAACTTTCACTCTCAAAAAGTTTTCTTAAATATATGTAACTTTAAGAGGCAAAAGGAAAAGTAATTATAAAACTTGAATGATAAAAAGGTATGAATTAAGATTTGAACAATTATAGATAGTAGATTCAAACATTGCATTTGCTTTTTAGGGTTTTTTTTATTACCGTTGAAATAATTTCTTGGGTTGAAATCAAGAAAAAAAAAATTCACGAACATTTCATATTATAAAGTAGATTGTGTACAGGTATAAAGGTGTTAATTATGTGAAAATTACTTTATTTTAGAAAATACATGTAAATATTTCAAATACACGTATACAGGATGTTCATTATATAAGAATCAAAAAAACATCCTGGTAAATATATGATTTTGATATAAGACGAGGAGATACTGATATGGCAAAAATACCTCTTGTTTCGGAAGAAATAGCAGAACCATATATCACTCCGAGAAAGGAAACCCAACAGAAATGTAGTGCCAACATTGTTAGATACCGCTGTGGATAAGTGCCAGTCATGACCCTTACTTATATAGCAGAGCGTGGCGATCAGATAACAATAGAAACTCTAAGACGTAGGTGTCCATGCAGCGGTCGTATACTTGTTTTCTGTCAACGAAGAATTTTCAAAATTGAACTTAAGGAAATATTCGTTCGCGTAGAGGATCGTAGATGTTTGGATCAGTCTTCCATTTAATGTTGTAAATGCAACGACATTTAAACAATTTGAATATAATCTAGATGAACATTGGAAAAAACAAGCTACGGAAGTATTGTTTTAAAGAAAAACTTAAGCTGTGAACTTTGTTTTAGCATAACTTGTATAAAGAGCTGACTATCAAAGGATTATTAATCTTGTACATATTTTCTGTACCTTGTCAGAATAAATCTATATATCTATGTATGTATATATCATATACATAAACCTGCTGACATTATACTTACTTGTTCATAGTGATTGCTCTCTGAAAGTAAGCTAGAAGCTTTGTACAAAAGAAACATAAACGAATTGCACCCTTTGTTAGAAATTAAGACTTAAACTATGAATTAAACTGCATCATACAGCTGCTGTTTTGTCCTTCTAGAACTCGTCAGTGATGTTGCATCATACGCCTGTGTCGTCCCTCTAGGACTCGTCAGTGGTACTGCATCATATAACTGTTCCGTCCTTCTAGAACTCATCAGTAATGCTGCATCATACCGCTGTTTCGTCCTTCTAGAACTCGTCAGTGATGCTGAATCATGCAGCTGTTTCGTCCTTCTAGAACTCGTCAGTGATGCTGAATCATGCAGCTGTTTCGTCCTTCTAGGACTCGTCAGTGATGCTGCATCATGCTGCTGTTTCATCCTTCTAGAACTCGTCAGTGATGCTAAGGGCATCAACGTGACTGAGTAAAATCCAAAATGATCGAAAAAAAGCTAAGTTATAGATGGAGAGGTGCACTTACTACATAATTTAATACATTTCATAAGTTTTATATATCTTGTCATTTTAGAACAACATCAAATACATGATGTATGTTCTGAACCGTGCCACTATTCAAATGAATTAAAATGTGGCATTTAGGTTACGGCACCTCTGGGACTAAACGTCTATCAGCAGTGTCTACTTGATCCTTAATGATAAACTAATTTTGTCATTTTGGCACGTTTCCGTGATGCAAGGTGCCTAAAGTATTTAAGTTTAGAAGGCAACTGAGGAAAATCAAAACGAATTAAATGAATGTCAAAATCATATGAGATGATGCAGAGCCGCACAAATCCAAAATGTTTTCAACAACGTAACGTATACTTGTAGTAGTTAGTGTTTAAATGAATTAATATGAACGTCCTAATGATCAGTATTAAAATTAACGTCCTAATGATCAAAATTAAAATTAACGTCATTAACGTCCTAATGATCAAAATTAACTTCCAAAATTAACGTCCTAATGATCGAAATTAACGTCCTAATGATCGAAATTAACGTCATAATGATCAAAATTAAAATTAACGTCATTAACGTCCTAATGATCAATATTAACGTCCTAATGATCGAAATTAACGTCATAATGATCAAAATAAAAATTAACGTCATTAACGTCCTAATGATCAATATTAACGTCCTAATGATCGAAATTAACGTCATAATGATCAAAATTAAAATTAACGTCATTAACGTCCTAATGATCAAAATTAACGTCCAAAATTAACGTCCTAATGATCAAAATTAACGTCCTAATGATCAAAATTAGAATTAACGTCCTAACAATCAAAATTAGAATTAACGTCCTAATGATCAATATTAACGTCCTAATGATCGAGATTAACGTCCTAATGATCAAAATTAAAATTAACGTCATTAACGTCCTAATGATCAAAATTAACGTCCTAATGATCAAAATTAACGTCCTAATGATCAAAATCAAAATTAACGTCCTAATGATCAATATTAACGTCCTAATGATCAAAATTAACGTCCTAATGATCAAAATCAAAATTAACGTCATTAACGTCCTAATGATCAAAATTAACGTCCTAATGATCAAAATTAAAATTAACGTCATTAACGTCCTAATGATCAATATTAACGTCCTAATGATCGAAATTAACGTCCTAATGATCAAAATTAAAATTAACGTCATTAACGTCCTAATGATCAAAATTAACGTCCTAATGATCAAAATGAGGCAATTACAAAGACAACCATCAATCCAAAATAATTTTTAGTAAAAAACTCCTACATCGAAATCTGAATGCCTCAGAACACGATCTATGTATAGTTGTCTATCTATTTATCTCTAAAATACTCTAAAAAGACTATCTGACTGATTTATCTTGAAAATTTGATTTAAAATTAAACACATCTGTATTGTCTGGTAAAAAAAAACAAAAACAAAATGTTCTCAGCTGGAAACATTTACCTGACTTGCTTCTCTGAGTGTAGCATTCAAACTATTGTCCATGGGAAAAGCTTCACTTGTGATCGCTTCGGTCTTTGTCCAAAATTGAATATCGTTGACCTTGAATGAACCAAACGTACTAAAAAGTTATGTGTGTACTAACATTTCAATAGGAAAAGTAACATTACTAGACAACTCTCATTAAAAAAACACACCCCCCCCCCCCAATTTTTCAATTTTTCCTAGATAATATTCTTGGATTCCAAGGACACTAACATTTGTAAATATATGATCTTTGATTTTCTATAACGAACGAATTATTTACATTAAAAAGATAGGCGGACAAGTACGTATCTGCTTGGCTGTTAAACTGTTCATATATCGTCGTGATCATACTATTAACACTTTGGTGCCTTTTATCACTAACATGTCCTGAATGAGTTAACATAAAAAATCCACAAAAATTAAAAGCACCATTTAAAATAATTTAGAATTAGATACAGTAGTTTTTCAACAATGAATTAAACTGTAGCATACATCTGTCTCGTCCTCCAATAACTCGTCAAGGATGCTCAGGACCTAAATTTCGGAGCGTACAAAGACGACTAAGGAAAACCCAAAGTGATAAGGTAAATTTCAAAATCAAGACGAGGAGGTACAATGGTACCATAATTTAATCCTTTTTTGAATTTTTTCATGTATCTGATAATTTTCTAATAATGTCATGAACGAAGAAGTTGTATAATCTACAGTAGATTCATTAATCATTGTGTTGTACTGTATAGTGTATCCAATATTTGAATTTTGTTTTGGAAGATTTTACTTTCTTGTGTGTCCACGCATTGTTAATTCAAATTTATGCCAGAACTCTGTCTACCATTTTCTATTAGCAAGTTCTTGTTTGAGTATTTGTTGCAAAGCGTGTATATTTGTGATCAGGAAGGATTAAGATGATTGAGGATAAATAGGATAATATGGATGGAATAAACAAGGATAATTATGTCATCATACTTTTGTAAGACTAGACGTTGTATTATTCTGATTTTTGGAATATATCTGACTGAAAATACAACTTAAGAAAATAATTCGTAATGTAGAAAAATCTGTGATATCTATCAAGATACAATCTTCTGTAATGAATTTAAGTTCCAAGTCAAGTCTCCTTGACCGAAATAGATTTCTGACACAATTTTCATATCTTGATTACGCTATCTTGGCCCTCGTTGTCTGTCACTAATGGTATTTGTAAGCATAAGAGGCAACACTCGTGATCACCGTGCAGTTTCTATTATCTTTCACTTATGATACAATACAAATTTTTAAACAGGGATTAATGTAGGTGTTTCTAGCCTTGAACGGTTATTGATGTAAATATTGATGGTATTAAAAAATCTAAATAATTTGTGACATTAGGCGGTGCTGTTTTGTTTAGCAAAAAAGGTTTCACATTTTTACATAACGTATTGGAATGCTTTAAATAGTCAAGTTTTAAATTGTTTAAGTACAACTATTGGAAACAATGTAAAAGGGTTAGTTCTTTTGATTGTTTGTTTGTTTGTGTTTGTTTGTTTATCAAAATACGTAAAATTGGAGTAGATTCCGCTTTGCTTCACTTCGAGATAACATGTGAGAAATCAGTCTTACAATTGTTACATTTTACACAAGATTTTATGTATGTAAAAACATTATTGATATCATTTAAGGATAAACACATTTTCGCTTTTTAGATTATTGTAACATTGTCTTCATTAACAATAAACTCATAAATTATCAAGTGTTTTTACTGAAATCAATAAATGACCTCAATAGGTTTTTTTCTCTTAAGAAAAAAAAAGATATTGAAGATTGCTGATGAAATATGCTTTATCACAAACAACGTTAACGAGAACCTAGCTTCAACTTAAGCCACATTAATAAAATGAAAGAAATTTGGTGTGTGTGTGAGAGAGAGAGAGAGAGAGAGAGAGAGAGAGAGAGAGAGAGAGAGAGAGAGAGAGAGAGAGAGAGAGAGAGAGAGTGAGAGAGAGAGAGAGAGAGAGAGAGAGAGAGAGAGAGGAGAGAGAGAGAGAGAGAGAGAGAGAGAGAGAGAGAGAGAGAGAGAGAGAGAGAGAGAGAGAGAGAGATTGTGTGGGTGTGTGTGTGCGGGTGTGTCTAGTAGTTAACTAGTCCTGTCGTAAATTAGAAAGTACGTTTAACCAATCTGTACAAGGTCTTGGGATTTCAATGGAAAACAAACACTGCGGACGAGAAGAGGCATATAATTTCAAAACTAAGTCTAGTAGAGATATTCTTTTGGATAGAAAAAAAAAACATAAATAAAAATTATTTGACAACTGTAGTTACTTTATCTTTATCTAATCTACCTCTCTTTTCAATATAACTATATAAACAGGAGCTTGTTCCCTTCATAGAGCTCACTTTATTAAACTTTAACTATTTCTTAAATATAACTTTATAAACAAGAGTCTCTTTATATGACAAGAGTTAATTCCCTTCACAGAGCTCTCTTTATAAGGCAAGATTTAATTCCCTTCACAGAGGTCTCTTTATAAGACAAGAGTTAATGCCCTTCACGGAGCTCTCTTTATATGACAAAAGTTAATT